TGTATGTATGTATGTATGTATGTATGTATGTATGTATGTATGTATGTGTGTATATATGTATGTGTGTGTGTGAATATTCAGTGAATCGGGGAACCGGAACTCCTTTAATGTTCTGTTTTCTTTAAAGGAAAACCCAGATAAGATGTACTGCAGGATTCCATGAACGATGTTTCTTCTTTGTACCTTGATCAGTGTCTTGAAAAATAAGTCAATAGTGTTATTTTGACCTTTCATTTCTACCTGGAGTGAGTTGGACAACGGTCACTGACTGTTGGAAGGTTTCTCTCACAGTGACCTACATGTGATTACAGTCGTTGTATTATTGTTCCCTTTGGTACAATAAATTAATAAACTGCTGAATTTGCAAAGTTTGATTTGATCCTCAAGTCAGCAGTTTTTTTGTACTGTACAGACACACATTTTGCACCAGACTGTTTTGTAAGGATCATTGTCCAGTCTGTCAGACATATTATGTGGAAATATCAGAGCAGAGCAATCTCATATAAAGAGTTCGTGGCAAAGTTCACAGACAGCCTTATCATTTGGGAACCTCATCCCAAATTAAATTCTGAACATTTAGATGGGATAAAGGAGAACTCCAAATTGCACACACATACACATGCACATTAGCCTTTGTTGATCATACGTGTCAGCCTGTGTACCCGAGACTTAAAATCTCTAATTGATTACTTCCAGTGTTTTAAAGAACTTTGCAGCATCAAGAATATTAAATGCATTTATTAGAGGTCTTACTTTGGCCAACTTAGTTTCTGTTCCCAAGACTTCAGTGTGACACCATGAGAAGGCTTGCATGCTACAGTCACAGTTTTCTACTTTTGTACATTTTGGAGACTTCTGATGTATGTGACATGTGTAACATAAAGGGTGGGGAAATTGCAGTGCACTGCAGTGTAAGCAAGCAGTTTGCTACTTATGGCGCTTTGCCACGTCTTGGCTCTCATAGGTTCCACACCGCACTAGTTCAGTGCCTGTTCCCTGCCGGTACGGCCCCCCCTCAGCCTGGTTTATGGGATCACCTTTTTTGAGGTTCCAACTGCTCCAAGGTGATGGTTTTGACATAAGCAGACAGCATTGACCAGTAGAGCTATGTCATCAGATGATCAGACTACATCTGAACCTCCATTTCCCCTCTGATTGTGTTGAGTGTTGTTTTTTCTTGTTTCTGGTATGGAAACTCCAACACATAGTGTCATGGGACCAATGATGAGGTACAGACCTTCCTACTGTATTGGCCAATGTTAGGATCAGCATGATTTGGACGACACCACAAGAAATGAGCACAATTACAGAGATATCTGTGATGATGGTGCAGCATGGCTACACCCAGTCAGTGCTGGGACAGCAGCATAGTGCAGCACATCTGTAGTGTTCACCAGCTTCTTTGTGTTGCAGTTCTTCTATAAGTCTGTGCTAATGTGGCTGAACTGCAGTATTCTGTAAGCATTGTGCAGTGGTCTCACCCACCAAATTCTGGGTCTTTATGCCTATGCTCTTTGTTGTTCAACTCTGACCTATCTGTCACAATTTTAACCGGCAACCAGATCAAAAGTAGACACCGACAATCAGGCACGTTTAATAGATTTAGACATGTTTGTTTTGATATTGATGGTGCAGGGCAGAAAAAAGAATCCCAAGGTGAGCGAGAAGAAAAACTATCAATCTAAAAGGAACTACAATCACAAAGGAATCAAACAAAAAATGTCTCAAACAGAAAACGTAGAACACAAAACTCAGTCCATAAAAATAAAATGAACAAAAGATCCACAAACAACCAAAAAAAACCAAAAACAGATCATGACAGACGAGACTGCTAAAACACAAGTGACAACAGTCAGTGTGAGAGAGTACAGTTGTACTTAGTAAAAAAACATAGGAAAATACCATACTTCAATTTCTTCATGTAGCAAAACTAGAGCAAAGTTTGTTCTGATCAAGACATTTCATACTTAACGCAGAACTCATTGTGGGAATATCAACATTTCTGCTTTTTCAAGTTATTTGCCCCCACTCAAGGCTTAATTTGTAACCTGATCGATGCTGGAACACAAATAGTGGACGGACCGGTGTGTGTGTGTGTGGGGGGGGGGGGGGGGAGTAGAGGGAGCTTGTGGGTCCTCCTCCCCCTTACATTTTTGATGCTATTTCCTGCATTTTGGTGTAGCCTATTTTAAACAGGTTGTTAAACATCTACGTTTACCTACATTTGTAAACTCTTGATTCAATGACTATTTTAGAGAGCAACAACAGGTTGTGTGCGAATAGAGCAGCTCAGATTCTGTCTGATTTTATTTATTATGTCTGAAACGTATGCATGAGCTCTCATCAGCAGTTGTGCGCGCGCTGTACTGTCTGGAGATGCTGCTGCGTGTAAAGTATGGCAAGCCAAGTGGCCCATTAATAACCACCTTTACTACATGTCTGGCTATTAATGTGCCACTTCGCTTGCCATATAGACGAAGACACTTCAGCCCCGCAGGACATGTTGGTGCGCTTGCTGCAGCCGTAATAGCCACTCCACAAACTGGGCAACGTCTCCTCTCGTTTTATTTTTAATAAATAATAAAAATTAAAATGTGCAATGACTTTGGACTTTTAGGGGCGGAGATTTGAGTTGCCGTATCCGAGCAAACAGTTGCCGGAACGCACCCTGTCAAAATGAGAGAGTTCCCGGATCTTGTTCCAGCAGGATCCGGCTCAAATTAAGCACTTCAAAATGTTGACCAGTGACACAAACAAAGTTGGACACCACATGAGAACAGACAACGTGTTGAGAAAAAGCTGCAATAACTCCCAAACAAGGGCTGCAAGGAATGACAAATAAAATAAAATTCCTGAGACCCTAAGAGAGAGAATAATTTTCTAGATTTTTGTGGAGTATGTCGCAGCCTTAAGAAGGGAGTTGAACGGGTGCAAGCAATGAATGAATGGTGCACTAGGAGGCGCTGCAGTCTTGTGTGATTCAGAAAAAGGCACGATTGAGCTTAAACTGTGATTGTCTTAGTCTGACGAATTGTTTTCTGTTCTACTTGTCTTCAAGTAAAGTTTAAAACCAATCCATAAAAGCATCTAGCACCTGAGTTTATTCCAGTTTCATATTTTTTGGAGAAGTAGGTAATGTTGGTCTTATATCAGCTATTATTATTTATTTATTAACCTTTATTTATTTAACCAGGCAAATCCCACTGAGATCACAGATCTCATTTACAAGGGAGGCTTGGGCCTGAAGGCAGCCTAACATGCATGTTTTTGATCTGTGGGAGGAAACCAGAAACCAGAGTACCTGGAGAAAACCCACGCATGCACGAGAAGAACATGCAAACTCCACCCAGAAAGACCCCAGGTCCAACCGGGGATTGAACACAGGACCTTCTTGCTGTGAGGCAACAGTGCTATCCACTGCGCCGTCGTGCTGCCAATTATATAACACAAGTTAGTGTAACTCTTGTGCCAGTCCCACATCCGGGAATTAGTGATTGTTGCACGGGCATTGAGCAGAAAATATTTTTGCCTAAAAAACACGGGTTAATCTAAATAATGCCATTTCAGATCAGCTGAGGTCAGGGTTCACACCAACATATAAAGTAAACTGGTCACATTCATCATTTGAGGAAATTATGCTTTCTAGTTTTTATATTGCTTAAAACTATAGTTTCATCAAATGATTGGGGTGGCCGCAGATTAATCTATGGTATTCAAGGCCACCACTGGCCACCCCCTGGCTCTGCCATTGCAGCTGGTGGTGGATAAAACTGTTCGAGGTGTAACTCCTACCCACTTGAATATCTTGCACCAAAAACATTAAGGGTTACTTGAATTTCTTGTCCAATTCCAGACCAGAAAAACACTCACCTCCAAAACTACAAACATTCACTATTCAAATCCTTTAGCAAAGGCCACATCAACATATTTCTTATTGTGCCTGCCTCTTAATTCAGGAAAAAAATCTGAACAAATTTAACAGACGACTAAAGTTTTGCAGAAACTAAGGTTTATTGCAAAGATTTTATTGATTCAATACATTCAGAGCCCTTAAACACATCAGCAAATTTACACAACAGACCAGTTGTATTGAAATGAAAATGATCCTTTTGTTCAAACTACACCCAATGTTGCAGTGAATAAAACAATTTAAATAAATTATCAAAACAGCAACGCAAAACAACAGCTCATTAGATATTTTATACATATTAACTCAGTGAACAAATACATTTTTCATTCAGGCAGCTAACCAGAAACATGTTTTCATTTAAATAAATTTAATTTTCATTTTTTTACCGTCATAACTTCACTGTATTTATTAGACAGCTTCATTTAACGCACGTTCAGATTTACAAAAACCACATGAAGGTGAAACATCTAAACTAGCTGCATCAGAGCTTTGAAGATAAAAAGACCTTAATGTTGCATTCGTCCAAAATCAAGCTCAGACAAAGTTCAGGTGTGTGTCTTTGTCCACACCATAGTTGCCTTTATGTTCCTCAAACAAGTTGCTGAGTTCATCCATGTACAGCTGGTGGAGGGCATCAAGTTCCTCGGCGGTTGGCTTCTCTTTCTTCACCACTCGTATGGGCCGGCCAACTGCAGAGAGGTGACAAGGTGCAGAGCAGCATGCTAAGTGCCAGTTCTTTATCTGTTTCATAGTTTGCAGTGTTGCATGATGCTGTTGGAGGTCTGTTTATCTAAAGCACATGTCACGCATGAGGGTTGATGCTATCGAGAAACATAGGGCTGGAGTGTGTCAGGGATCGCTTTTGATTACATCAACCTTCATCAGATTTGTGTAAAGCTTTTCAATGAAACAGCTTAAGAGATTGAGTATTAATTCAACCTTTATTTATACAGCTATGTATACACTATCTGCTGTAGGTTCATAAAGTATTCAGAGCATTTTTTGTGACACTTGAAATTTAGCTCAGGTGCTTTTATTTGGGTTGACCATTGAGATGTTTGGACACTTTGATTGGAGTCCTCCCTGAGGTAAATTAAATTATATGGCACACTTCAACTGCAGAACTCAGAGGAGAACCAAGATGTTAAATTTCCTGCAAAGCTCGGAGACAGAATTGCTACAGGTCGTGAATTTGAGAAAGGTTACTATAATATTTCTGCTGGACTAAAGGTTCCCAACTGCACAGTGACGTCCACAATTCCTAAATGGAAAGGGTGTGGAAGAATCAGGGTTCTACCAAAAACTGGTCACCTGGCTGCGCTAAGCAGTTGAGAGAGAAGGGGCTTAATGAGAGAGGAGACCAAGAGCCCAGTGGTCGCTCTGAACTTCACATATCCCGCGTGAAGATTGGATTAATTTATATCGGGTCCATCAGAACTGAGGCTTTGACCAATATGGACTCGATGATGGCTCGACTGAAGCCGCTCCTCAGTGCAAAACACTTGAAATCCCATATAAAGAACTTTTATTGTGAGAAACAACATTTTCTGGTCTGTTGAAATCAAGAATGAGCCCAACGATGTTCAGTCAGGTCATCTGGACGGTTTCTTTTCTTGCTGAAACGTTTTGTCCTTCATCCGAAGGACTTCTTCAGTCTGAGGAGCCACCAAACCAAACTGAATCCTACAAACAGCTCACTCCCAGAGTGGAAGAATGAACCGTTTCTCAGTTTTAAACACCATGTCTGGAGGATACCAAATACTGTTTATCACCAGCCCAAAATTCTGCCAAAACCATCCCCATAGTAAAGCCCAGTGGTGGCAGCATCGTAGCTAAAATGAGCATGTATATTATGTGCACAGTGAAAACCAGTTTCACCGAGCTCATGACCTCAGGCTGGTGCTGAAGCTTCCAACATAACGGTGACCCAAAGTGCACGGTGAAGGCTACACTGGCAGGACTTAGAGACAACTCTATGAAAGGCCTAGAGTTGCCCAGCAAGATCCCTGACTCAAAAACCTGAAAATGGTTCAACTGGTTCCATCCAACCAGACTAAACTTGAGAGGATTTGCAAAGAAAAATGACAGAAAATCCACAAATTTAGGTGTACAAAACTTGTTACATCCGTCCTTAAAAATCTCAGAACCGTAGAGCCTGTGAAAGCTCATTCAGCTGAGTATAACGTAAAACAGAAATATTTATGTTAATGTGACATTTCAGACTTTTAGTCCTAATCAATTTAGAAAATTATTTAATTAGTATTATTAATATTAACTAACTTAAAAACCAGTTTTCACTTTGTCATTATGAGATACTTAGTGTAGGTTATTGGGGAACAAACAGCAGGTTTTACCATAACAATAGTTTAATAGACAGTAAAAGGCTCTGAATACTGTGAACCCAGCTTTTGAACAGTAGCACGTAGTCAAGAATAAATTATCCAACCTGCTGACTCACCTATAGTATGGATAGGTCTTCTGTAGGGCATGAGACCAAAGGAGTACTGGAAAATGCCACGCGCATGGAACAGAGGCAGTGAGATACCCATGATGCATTGCAGCCGTTCCTGTGTCCACCTGAGCCAGGTTCCTCTTGGGTTTTCCACTTGATCATAAACTTCATTCTCTCCAAAGGAATAAACTGGCACCAGGTGAGCTCTAAAACATTTTTGTAACAAAGAATTGGTTGAGATACTAACATTCTACATTAATACAATTCTGTGTTCTACATCATTACATCCTTTCTTATTCTACATAAGGCTTATAAATAATTCTGTGCTTTCCCATGAAATTCCATGCAAGTGACTTGAATGAGCCTCTGTTTTAAGAGATCACACAAAAAGCTTGAAGAAACCTCAACCCCTTCAAAAAAACAGTAAGACTACAGAGAATTAGCTGCAGCAAAAATCATCTGTTTCTCCCCCAGGGCTGTCAGCACTTACCCGTGTTCCATGGCCATTTTGATAAAGCCTTTCTTTTTGGCCAACAGCACGTTGAAGGTACCAGGGTGGGCATCAAGGGCCTCTGGAGCTCCACCAACAGCTATCACAACAGCACTGCCGCCACGCTTTTGGCGGAGTGGATAACTGGCACTTTCTTTGTCAGACGGAATCAGACCTACAAATTTGGAACAGAAAACAAGTACAATATAACACATGATGCATATTTTTATGTCAGCTAAAATACTAACCACTCCCAGTTACTTGTGGTGTTCCCCAAGGCTTAGTCTTGGGGCCCCTCCTTTTAATTATTTGCCTACTTCTTCTTGGTTTTGTTTCAATGTTACGCTGATGACACCCAGCTTTACATCTATTCTAAACTACTTCCTCCTTTTTGCTTAACTGTTTAGCGAAGACTAAGAAACTAAGTTTGACTTACTGTTTATTAAAAATTATAAACACTAAATTAAAATGAATTAACCTAAAACTAATTGCTAAAAAAAAAACCTCAATCAAGTCTCTCTTGTAAATGAGTCCTCGAGGCTCAATGGGATTTAAATAAAGGTTGAATGAATTTAAAAAAAATAAAAATCCTCAACCTCAACAGTAACAAAACTGTATTTCTTCTTGTTGGACACTTTTGTTTCATTTACAGTAAATATGTTGTGAACTTCAGAGGCAGTAGAATGAATGGGAAGTATGAATGGGATTTTATTGTCTGTTCCTCACCAGCACACATGATGTAGTCTCTGAAGAATGGAGCTCTGAACCACAGAGGCAACATGAGCAGGTAGCTGGTAAGGCCTGGAAACATCTCCTTGAAGCCCGTAGCATAGGTGCAGAAGTTGGTAAAGGCTCCTGCCACCAGCACGCCATGAGGATGGAAGCCCAGGATGTAGTTGTGTCTGGGGTCCAAGTCAGCTGTCTTCACAAGCTGATGGAGAAAACAAGAACAGTGCGCAAATTAAATAATCAAATACATATATTACAAGCACAAACCATGAACATTAAACGTGTTAATATATAGTTAGTCCAAAAGAAATCCTCACACAATATTTTATGCTTGATGGTCTGATGAATTTCAAAACAGCTGAAAGTGTTGGAGGGCAGTGGCCCAACTGGCTGCAGTCCAAACATGTGCCTCAGTCTCCCAGTTTCAACACCGTCTGTGACCCTCTGTACTCCCTGTAAGCTGTCCTCTCTGCGGACGCTGTCCACATTCGTGTAGGACCAGCCTTACAGTAGCAAACACTTCTCCTACACCTCCAGGATACATGAAGTGTAACAGCACAGTTCAAACTCAATGTGAGCTCAGTTCCTTTTTGTACATTTGTCTCATTTGTAATAATTAATGTGTCATGTTGGTGCGTGAACTCTTCAAGTTCTTGTGCATCAACCTCACTCGGGTTTATTTCAGTAAAACTAACGGCACCATTTTCAAAACACCACAAACATGGCATTTCACATCCAAAACAGTCACACAGCCAGCCTAATCCTGGGATTAAAATCAGTGTGTTAACATCAAACTTCTTTTTTTATCCATTCAACAAAGAACTTTTCTGTTTAAATATCAGACTCTGCACGAAACAAAACCCGTTTCTGTCCTAAAAGGATGGTTAAGCTATTTAAAAGGGTGCTTCGGTGTTAAAGTTATGACCAGTTAATAACTGACTTGTTAGTTCTTTGAATGGCAGTTTGGAGAAATTCAGTTTACGTCAGACAGAACTGATGAGCTAATGGCTAGTCCGAACACAGTTAAGACTAAAGTGCTGCTGTTATAAATCAATGTAAATCTCAAAAGTGTCATAGTGCTTCATGCAAATGCTTACAACAAATAAACCAACTTTATTTTGCATTACATGGTTATGTACATATAATTATGTGATAATTTGCAAGCTTAAATAGCAGCAGCAGCTAGCTGTAGCACTAGCCTGGGCTCACTTCTGGCAGGAGTTGAATAATATCTTTGTCGTAAAAAAATATAATGCAAAGCTGAAAGCATTGTAAATGTTTATAACGCAGTGTTTGCCTCAATATTAGAGCTGCTTTAGGATGGCAGCAGTTCACTTTGGACTGGCTTCAGTTTGAACGTACTGCTCTAACGAGTTCATAAATATTGTCCTCTTCTAAAGCAAAATGCGTCTTCTTAAACCGACTCCAATCTACAAAATGTCTTAGAGCTTCATGCAAATGCAGTTCTATAAACCTTTACATCCCTTTCTATGAAACTGACAGTAATATTATAAAACTCTTAAAGTGAAAGACCAGAAGTGTTAAAACTAGCTGCTAGTATTTGTTACTGATAATAACCATAAAATGTCACGTTAATAACCATGTAATGGGCACTCATCACTGATGCAGTTCATAGTGTCTGAACTATTACTTTAAATGGTAGCTCATATCTTTCAATATCTTTTATGTTTTGCACTTATATTGAGAGCGAGCTCAGAGAAACTGTTTGCTCTTTGCAGAGGAATATCAGAAGTCATACAGATATAGTCACATACAGATGTTAAACAGCTGAGAAATGGAACCTTAACTAAAAAACTCCTTTTAGATTAGAGCAGCCTCCTTTATTTCTTTTATCTCATGGTTTATTAGAAGCAAACATGTGCTGATCCGTACTTAATGTGTTGTCTTACATCATAAAAGTCAAGAGGACCTGTCTTTGAGCCCAGTCTATCTATAATCAGTGTTTACATGGCAGGAACACCCTGAGCAAACACCGCACTGTGATGAAGGCGTGGAGGTGACAAAAACAGCTGCTTCAGAAAATGACAAACAAAAAAATAAAATTAAATACAAAACTTTTAAGAACATTTTGGAATGACAGAGGACCTTTCTTGGTGATATTTATCAGTTTCACTCATGATTTTAATGAATAACATTCAGTTTAAATCCTCTTCTTCACGCTCCTCTTCTGATCTACTGTTTTATTTGGTTATACAGAGCCTTGTGAAAGTATTCAACCCCTTGAACTTTTCAACCTTTTGCCACATTTCAGGCTTCAAACATAAAGATATAAAATTTTAATTTTTTGTGAAGAACCAACAACAAGTGGGACACAATCGTGAAGTGGAATGAAATTTATTGGATGTATGAAACTTTTTTAACAAATAAAAAACTGAAAAGTGGGGCGTGCAGTATTATTGGGCCCCTTTACTTTCAGAGCAGCAAACTCAGTCCAGAAGTTCAGTGAGGATCTATGAATGATCCAATGTTGTCCCAAATGACTGATGATGATCAATAGAATCCACCTGTGTGTAATCAAGTCTCCGTATAAATGCACCTGCTCTGTGATAGTCTCAGGGTTCTGTTCAAAGCGCAGAGAGCATCATGAAGACCAAGGAACACACCAGGCAGGTCCGAGATACTGTTGTGGAGAAGTTTAAAGCCGGATTTAGATACAAAAATATTTCCCAAGCTTTAAACATCCCAAGGAGCACTGTGCAAGCAATCATATTGAAATGGAAGGAGTATGAGACCACTGCAAATCTACCAAGACCTGGCCGTCCCTCTAAACTTTCATCTGGAACAAGGAGAAGACTGATCAGAGATGCAGCCAAGAGGCCCATGATCACTCTGGATGAACTGCAGAGATCTACAGCTGAGGTGGGACAGTCTGTCCATAGGACAACAATCAGTCGTACACTGCACAAATCTGGCCTTTATGGAAGAGTGGCAAGAAGAAAGACATTTCTCAAAAATATCCATAAAAAGTGTTGTTTAAAGTTTGTCACCTGGGAGACACCAAACATGTGGAAGAAGGTGCTCTGGTCACATGAAACCAAAATCCAACTGTTTGGACACAATGCAAAACGATATGTTTGGTGTAAAAGCAACGCAGCTCATCACCCTGAACACACCATCCCCACTGTCAAACATGGTGGTGGCAGCATCATGGTTTGGGCCTGCCTTTCGTCAGCAGGGACAGGGAAGATGGTCAGAATTGATGGAAGATGGATTGGGCCAAATACAGGACCATTCTGGAAGAAAACCAGTTTGAGTCTGCAAGAGACCTGAGACTGGGACGGAGATTTATCTTCCAACAAGACAATGATCCAAAACATAAAGACACATCTACAATGGAATGGTTCACAAATAAACGTATCCAGGTGTTGGAACGGCCAAGTCAAAGTCCAGACCTGAATCCAATCCAGAATCTGTGGAAAGAGCTGAAGACTGCTGTTCACAAACGCTCTCCATCCAACCTCACTGAGCTCCAGCTGTTCTGCAGGAAGAATGGGCAGAACTTCAGTGTCTCCATGTTCAAAACTGACAGAGACAAACCCCAAGAGACTTGCAGCTGGAACTGCAGCAAGAGGCGGAGCTACAAAGTATTAACGCAAGGGGGCCCAATAATATTGCACGCCCCACTTTTCAGTTTTTTATCTGTTAAAAAAGTTTGACACATCCAATAAATTTCATTCCACTTCATGATTGTGTCCCACTTGTTGTTGATTCTTCACAAAAAATTAAAATTTTATATCTTTATGTTTGAAGCCTGAAATGTGGCAAAAGGTTGAAAAGTTCAAGGGGGTTGAAAACTTTCACAAGGCTCTGTACTTGCTCCTTGGTGTTGTGTATCCAGTCAAATGTGTTTATTGGTGCTCCCTGGCACCCCGCCCCCCCACGCCACGTTTTGAGTTGCGTGAGCGACGTCTCTGGGAGAAAATAACTGTTGGAAAAGTACATGTGTGACCTGAACCTGTTCTCCTTGCTTGTCACATGTAGGATGTAAATAGAATCGATGTCCTAACCTGTATAAACATCTCTTTATCTTCATGGACCTTCAGAAATGGGCAGTGTTGTTTTGTGTTTAGGTTGTTTGTACTGTAGTGACCTGATGACCCCCAGGTCAAAGTTAATCATTGGCCTAAGATTCTCTGATACGCATCGTTATTATCCCAGAAAACTGTTTCAAATGTACCCACATTAAAAGTATCTTTACTCTGTAATTGTTTGAATTCATGTATACTTTCTTGACATTTTAAATGATTTACAACAAAAAAAAGGCTTATTTTTCAAGTTGAGTGGGATTTATGGATCAGTATTTGGAGCAGCCCAGCGTTACTTTTTACAACATAAATCCTGCACTGTAAGCATGAAATTGGGATCTTAGTAAGTTCGACTCTTTACAAAAAAAAAAAAAAAATTATATATAATAATAATAAAGACTGCAAGAGCTTCTATCCTAAAAAAGATTGGGAACCTAAAATAATTTAATGGTGTGATCTTTAGATGATTTTCATAGAATATGAAATTAACTCAGTTAATAGTTTTACCATCATTGTTACAAAAATAGGAACAGAAAAAATACTTTTTGTTGACCAGTATATACATCAACCAGCAATACGTAGGGTTGCAAGTCTCTGTCTGTGCTTTTATAAGAGGGTAGAGGTGGGGATAGATAGATAGATAGATAGATAGATAGATAGATAGATAGATAGATAGATAGAGTATATAACTGTATTGTCTTGAAGTTATGTATCAGAGGCATATTCTTTTGTGCTCTTGGCAAACATTCCTTTTAAATTACATCTGATATTTGTTGTTCGTTCATTCCACAATCATGGCCCTGAAAGAAAATGATGGGGAAGTTGCTGATGTGGGTTTGGGTTTTACTTGAAGATGTCAAGAACAGAACACAAATTGCCAGATCTTCTTGAGTGGAGCAACTTCGGAGGACAAACAGAGCAAATTTCCCGAAGCAGAGTTCAACGAGCACCAAGTTTTTGAAGGAGCTGAAGAGATCTCAATACATTTTTATGGGGAAATTTGGGGGGTTGGTTAAAAATGTAAAGAATTCAAAATGTATTTTGTTCTGTTGATCCACACATGTTGACGTATGAATGGGTAGAACAACATAAAGTATGCAGAATAGAAATGCTGTAACATGCTACACTTTGACCCAGTGCATGCTCAGGAACACAA